GATTTGAACAGCCGAACTGCCGAACTAGCAGTCAGCTGAAGTAGCCTGCAGTACAGCACTCTAACCACTGCGTCACCTCGGCACATCCTCAGGAAGCTTCCAGCAATAAAAAAGATCACATTTTTTCCCATTCTGCTTCTAAGATACTTCCATCATTTGTCTCAGAATGCCTTTTATTGAATGAGGACGCAGGATCACTGGGAGCCAACATGCTTAATAACAAAATAAGCTTTGCCGTGGTCGAGATCAAAGAAAAAAAAGTTACCAGGGATTAGCATTGGAGCTTATGCAGAAGGCGCTTCAAAGTGAATATTCTTTCTGTTTATAAACACTAACTTTCACTATTGCCTTAGGAAATTATGATTAATCAGGAGGAAGAGATTACGGTAACAAAACATGACAATGTCTTTCCTGTTCCGATAATTAAGTTGTCATAGTGTGTGTTATTGGTACTACTGGTGATTTGCACTGCTATGCCAAACAGTGCTCTATTAACCTTACCTCATTTTAAAAAGATTGTCACCATCTTCAGTCATCCAGATTCCCTATGTTCATTATTACAACTGAACATAATACAGAAGAATCAATTCACAAGAACCAATCTATTTAACTAACTGGAAAATTCTGGCTAGGTTTGACAAGCCAGGCAATGGCATAATTTGTTTATTGTTATTGAATTTATTTGCCACGGGGTTATTCTTGGTGACTTAATTCTAGGTTATAATGTGCTTTATATTGTTAAGATTTAATGTATGCTACCCTTTTTTCAAGTTTCCTCAAGGCAGCTTGCTGACTCTTAAGTGCATTGCCAAGAGTTGTCAAATCCCACGCTTGTAGCATCCTTTAAGAAAAATAAATAAATAACTATCGAGTTTGCTTGTATCTTTTGATACGAGGTAGGGAAGAATTCAGATCATTTATCATAGGACTAGTCAATAACCTGGCGTTGAACGGGTATTTATTTATAGGAGGAAAATGTCCAGACCAAATGTAATTTCTAATGTTGGATTATCCCCCTTACCAGAGGGAACCCCCTTGTGGACTACTGTGAAGCCATTACCATGGCAACTCCACTGCACTGCACAGTAGAAGCCATTTTACGGCAGTACAGTAGAAGCCATTTTAAGGCACAACAGGCTATATCTACAGAATACACACCCTGAGGTGTTTTAGGGGTGTCTTACCCCCACATAATTTGTTTCCAGAGAGTAAGTCATATGTGTACCAGGTTTGGTTGAAATTGCTCGAGGTGTTCCAGAGTTACGCTGGAACATGCGCACGCGCGCACACACACACACACACACACAGAGCCATTGATGGATAGATAGTTAGTGAGCCCAACTAACCACATTCCTACATTTGAGAGTGCCCCAAAGGTGCTTTTTCAGGAGGCAACTGGACTTTCTGTTTTTTTTTCTTTTGAAGACATTTTGCTTCTCATCCAAGAAGCTTCACAATGCACAATGCATTACCACCATCACCAGAAAGGATAGTTGACTTCTGAACTGGAGACTTTATGTCCTAGTATGGATGGGTTGAAATTTAGGTGGCTCCACTGTTGTTAACATCTGCTGTCCTCTCTTATTTGAATTTGAATGTTTACAAATTAACAACTGATTTTATATGTTAACTGGTTTATAGTATTATTGTACACCACATCACTTTTTTTGTGGCTGATCCTAACTCCTCCAACAAGATATTCCAATCCAGGCTTATCTTCAGATTTCAGACTATGCAAAGCAGCTCTGTGTGGTTCATGCCCTACGTTTTATCCCAACTTCAACAAACCATACTGTTGTCTCATGTTCCTTATTCACTGCATCAAAAAGTATCCAAAGCAATAACGTCTATGTTTGAACGCCACAGTAATTAAGTTTGTAAACAATTATGTTTGCTGGTAAATTACATTTTACAGCTAATCTAGCCATAAAAGCCAACAGCCCATTGATAAAGCTAATGCTTGAAAGGAAAATTGAAAAGGCACACATAGCTTTACACGTCAGCAAGAGATTAAAAAAACTTTACAGCTTCACTTGATTAGCATTTCCCAAGGGATGTTGGAGCATGCGACCACCCAACACAACTTTTCCAGAATTCAAATATTTTCCGTAAAAGTAGATTTAAGATCCCATTGGTATGATATAGTTCCCAATCTTACCCTATTCAGCATTTCAACATCTACATTTCCCCTCTATTATTCTCTCCAACCTCTTGACGAACTCTCCGAAATGTGTCCATTCATTTTGCTACAGGATATCTCACTCTTAATGTATTCAAAATTACTGTATTGCATTTTTTTCTTATGCATGTCTGTATATCACCCAGATTGACATCATAGATCAACTATATATATATATTTAAAAAATATGCATGCTCCTAATTCTTATTATTTATTGTTGAATTTGTATAAATTCCCAAATGGAATATTTTCAGTATCTGACTAATAGTAACATGTTGAATGATGGCTGCATAGATCTACATTCCTTAAGAACCACAGGAGTAATAGAATGAGAAAAGTGACAAATAAATTAACTCTCCCCTTATGTCTTTTTTTAACCGAAGGAAATAATTTGCTATTTTCAATGGGAAAGCAGCCATAGAAAGATTAATTCTATACCAACAGCAGATATATACATGATAATGAGAGTTAATATTTGCAGAAATGTTTGAGGAAACGCTAATCGGTGCATAATTCTCCTAATCAAAGATCTATAAATGACACTGAAATTTAAACAGGATGTGTAGGTTTATACCATTTGATGCAGAAATACTGCTCTAAAGCAGGGGTCTCCAACTTGTGGGCCATGGCCCATGGTGCATTTCCAGCCATGGTCTACTGGCGACTGGGCCGCATGAGTGGCTGGCCAGTGTGTGCACACATCCCCCCTCATGCTAGCATCATGCATACGCTCACGGCCTCGTTCGCGCATGTGCATGCCCATATAAAGGCTAGAGGCACCACGTTCCACCACCACCACCTCACTCTGTTCTTCATTTCTGCATTTCCTTAACGGATCAATTAGTGTTAACAGTCTAAAGGATGCAAAGGAGTAAGCAAACAAGAAATGTGACATTTAATTCACAAAGTTCCTTCAATTGTAACAGCTAAGGCGAAGCGCCCATCGACCTGAGTGACGTTGAGTTGGCCACGCCCACTCAGTCACATGACCACTGAGCCTCGCCTACCCAGCTGGTCACTAGGGCAGAGAACCGGTTGTTAAATTATTTGAATCCCACCACTGAGGAAAACCTTCCTTAATCTGATTTACTACAAAACCATCATTCCAAAAAAGACATCTCTATGAACAGCCAAACTATCACGCTTTCATATCTAGGTATAATTAACTGTCATCAATGTATCGGTTTTGAAAGACATCACCGGTACGTTATTTTTAAGATGCAATATGGAGGGATATTTAAAATCTGAACTCTATCACGCAGTATTCTAAGAAAATGTTCAAAGAAACCATGACAACTTAATATTCTTCCAAATGAACTGTAACTTTTGTGGATGCTCCTTTTGTTGCTAGATTTTGGGGCCTCTGGCTCACTATCCTACATCAAATGTCACCATTCTAGAACAGAATGGCAGTTACAATAAGGGGTACATTTATCTAATTGATTAATTACTAGTAAATTAGATTATTTAATTAAGCTACTTAATCTTTAATTTTAAATGCGACATGCGCTAATTCAAATACAGTTTTAACGTATAGGAGATAAATGTCATATCACACAAGAAACATTATACCCAAAACCGATCTTCAGAATAATTTCAACCACACATTATTTTGAAAGCTGCCTGAAATCTGTCAAAAAACTATGGATTCTTTTGACAGAAACTTGCAATGACCGTTTCAAGAAAAATAATTTCTCAGCAAGGCATCCAAACGGTATTTTGGACCAGCTGCTATTATAGTACTGTACTATACTTGAAGGAAGACCTGTCCAAAAGGTGAATGACATGACAGAGTGGTCAGGTCTGAGTCAAAGTAAGTAAGTGAAGATACAACACGTGGATGTTGTAAAGGGTCAAGGTGAAAGTAAGACCTAAAATACTGAATCCACTTTTGGTCACCACACTATAAAAAGGTTGTTGAGAAGTGCACAGAAGAGCAACCAGGATATTAGGGGACTGGAGGCTAAAACATATGAGGAACAGTTACAGGAACTAGTCTAGTGAAGAGAAGGACCAGAGGAGACATGATAGCAGTGTTCCAATACTCGAGAGGCTGCCAAAGAGCAGGAGGGCTCAAGCTATTTTCCAAGACACCTGAAGACCAGAAAGGAGCAATGGATGGAAATTAATCAAGGAGAGAAGCAACCTAGAACTTGGGAGAAATTTCCTAACAGTGGGAACAATCAACCAATGGAATAACTTGCCTTCAGAAGTTGTGGGTGCTCCATCACTGGAGACTTTCAAAAAGAGACTGGACATTTGTCTGAACTGAACTCCATTATGTGACGCTAGGGATTCGAACCACTGAACTGCCAACATTTCTGATCGACAAACTCAGCATCTTAGCTACTGAGCCACTGCGACCCGCATTAAACAAATTATCAATACATTTATACATTGTAAGAGATTGCTTTCACAGTAAAAAAGAAGGAAGCCTAATATATTAGGAGAAATCTGATGTTTAAGCATGGGATGGTAAAGATGATTCTATATAACATATTAAGGATGTCAACTGTGACTTAGGACATGTGAGAACCGATTGTCCTTGCTTGATTTTTGTCTGACAAAATTAAACTCGGAATGTGGAAAACAACTGATTATGGTTCCTTCACCTATCAAATTCAGAATATCCAAAAGGTAACATGGAAAACCAATTATTAACATCAATACTGTTCTTTGCAGGATCAGACACTGGGGCCAGGGCCTGGTATTCCTAGCTAACTTTAGATTGCAATATAGTTGATATTTTGAGAAGATATTTTACTGTGGTAGTCATTGCCAAAGTTGTTTAATTCATTTATCATGAAAGTTGGCAAAACATGAAGCTTTTCAATTATTAAAACTAATGCCAAATGCTCACTGAGTTAACTTAGCTTGTTTTAATTAAATATTACATGAGGCTACAACTTGTACATTTTATAAGTCACAAATGTCTAATACAAACAAAACAAAAAAAATCCAGAACCTCCAAATCTTGTCAGATGTTTAAAAAATTATCTATTAAGTATGTGTTCATAAAATGCCAAAAGTTAGTTCCAGGCATTTTTATTTTTTTAAAAAATTTTTTTTTTCTTGTAGAAAAATAAAACTCTTGATGGGGTTCCAACTTCTGTAACAAACATCAACAGAAGGCTATAAGATAATCAGCTGCCACTTTTACACATTTTAAAATTGCACTGATTAGAATCTGAGCTTTGACAGAATGATAATACCAGCAATACTATGCTGGCTGTCATTACATTTATCCAAGAGAACACTCATGTTGCAGAAATGCCAAAATGTGGTGGGAGTTCAAAATTAATGTACGATTGTTCTCCTAATAAAACAGCTTCTCTTGTAAGATCCCTTCAATCATCTCTCTTTATTTAATTGCACGTTTTATCTACCGCTTCAGATAATATTAAGGCCAAGGTTTCCCTGTCCAGTCGTGTCTGACTCTAGGGCGCAGTGCTCATCTCAATTTCTTGGCCAAGAGAGGCAACGTTAGGACATTTCTGTGATCATGTGGCCAGCTTGTCTATATGCCAGGGCTGCATGGAATGCTATTATATTCCCATCAAAGTGGTACCTATTTAATCTACTCGCATTTGCATATCTTTCGAACAGCTAGGTGTGCAGGAGCTGGGGTGGAAATAGGAGCTCACCCTGTTGCGTGGCGCTTGGGTCTTGAACCAGTTTTCTAGCTGAGAAGCTTAGCATCTTTAACCACTGAGCCATCCCACCCAATAATATACCCAACAATAAATAATAAAGGTAAAAGTTCCCCTAGCACATATGTGCTAGTTGTTCCTGATTCTAGGGGGCGGTGCTCATCACCGTTTCAAAGCCGAAGAGCCAGCGCTGTCCAAAGATGTCTCCGTGGTCATGTGGTTTTCATGACTCAATGCCGAAGGTGCAAGGAATGTTGTTATCTTCCCACCAGAGGTGGTTCCTATTTTTCTACTTGTGTTTTGTACATGCTTTCGAATTGCTAGGTTGGCAGAAGCTGGGACAAGTAACGGGAGCTCACTCTGTTAAGTGGCGCTAGGGATTCGAACTGCCAACCTTTCTGATCAACAAGCTCAGCGTCTTAACTATTGAGCCACCTCGTCCCTTTTAGAATAAATAATATAACTGCATTAATAATTACATTGATGTGATTATTAACTTCATTCAAGCCAGAGCTCCTTAAAGTAGGGGCCGTGCTCATCTCGAAGGGAACTTCTTCCATTGGAGAGGTGCTATCGCAGCAAAATGCTTTGGAGGTGTTATACCATTACCTCTTCTATGGACACGTGGTAACTAGAGGCTTATTTGTGGAAAGCAATGTCTTACATAGTCTGGCCCCAAGCCATTGAAGGCATCTTGAATTGTTGTTAGAAATCCTCCTGCAAACAGTACAGCTTCTGCAGCAATTGTGTACTATGGGAGTACCATGTCTGGGAATACCTGGGCAGGTATTTAAAATAGATGCAATTTAAATTCTAAGAATATACTCCTACCCCCTCCATGAAATCGTATTCTTGCTCAAGGCAATGGTGACAAAACTGCAGTGATAAGCTGCATCCAGTTCTTCGCTAGATCGGAATATGCAGTTATTTACTCACAATCACGAGACTCACAGAAATTCCTTAAAAGGGATTTATAAGTGAAGATTTGCAAGCATGAAACCTGCTCGGGAACTGCTGGCAAAGCAATACCAGAAAGGGCTCTATAGAAGACTCAGGGAAGCAGGTTTAGAGGCCAATTTCCTAACAGAGATGGAATTATTACAATCAGCAGAGGATGAATCCGTAAACATTTGGGGGAAAGGAAAAGGTAGGGGACCTTAAGCAATTTGATTTTAAATCAGCAGTTTGACATTGACAGATATTTTAATGGTTAAAACCAGCAATATTTTTAGAGTCGGAAATATCACATACTTAAAGATTTTAACATATAGGAAGAAAAGGTTTAATGTCCCATATTTTTTATAAATAGAGGATAAAATAAGCAAGCATCTTTATATACCGAAAAGGCCATTTCCCAAGTAAAGCACAAGAGATAAATAGTCATTCTGTAATATAACATTTTTGAATGCCCCCACTTTGGAATCTGTAAAAACCATGCACTACCTTCTAAAAGAACAAAGTTTTGCTTGAAAAATATATTAATATATACTGCAGGGATCCAGCATGAATTGTAAGAGACTTAATCATATCTATATACCTACTTTGGAATTAAATATTTTGAAAACATTTTGGGCAATTTTCAGTCAGAAGTTATTGATTTTATGAAATGCTCACCATTTGACATTTTCAATTACAGTCCATTTGAATTTCTATATTTGGAAAACTGTTAGTAGAAGTAGTGTATTAGGATTCAGCATTCACTATAAAGTTCTTGCTGGATTACAAAAAAAAACACCTTTGTGTTTAAGATTGCACTGTATTCTGAAATAAAAATGAATAAGAATGATTCCAAGTAATCATGATTAGACTGTGCTGCATTTATTGTACTTCCAGCTAAACAATATTAATGAGTGGTGATTAAATTTTACCATCCCAAATTAATACCATAAAATGTGTACTCATGGCACAATATATCAGATTATCTGATATGTGGGAAATGAGGTCGAAGGTAATAAAGATTTCAGTAATCATTCTGATAAGCGATCTGCCTGCAGCAAACTTAATGCATTTTAACACCATAACTAAGCATTTAATTTTAAGTCAGCAATAATGAATACAATTAGTGGAAGGAGTATACACGTACATAAGAACAGTTGACTAATATTATTTAACATAATTCAAAATTATATAACAGGTAAAAAAATTGTATACAGGAGCCATAAGGCTTCATGTGCCTTACCTGCTGGCAAATATTTTAGCTGATTATTAGCTAATCGAAGATGGCGCAGAGATCGCAAACGCCCAATCTCTGGGCATACAATTTCAAGGGCATTGTCACTCAAGTCCAGAAACTGCAGTTTAACCAATGAACCAATTGCTTTAAGAAAAAAAAGGTAGCATGTTTAAATTAAAATGAGACATCTGTTAATAATAGCTTATTCCTAAAACACAAGACATTTTGCTGTACAGATTAGCACGTTTATATTTTAAGCAGCCTTTCGTGCAAAAGTCTACTTCAGCAGTTATATGGAAAGAATGTCGAAGGAACAAACTTATATTCCCTCTAGATTCTAGTATATCGTATCACTGGACATTAGGAAGTTAGGTGAGCCCAGGTTTTATGGTTCCTGGTATTCTCAGTTGCCATAATACAGTATTTCTCTATCATGCAACTCTAAAATGTGTGGGAGGGCTGGCTGGGGAATTCTGGGAGTTGAAGTCCACACATCTTAAAGTTGCTAAGGCTGAGAAACAATGACATAGTATGTTGTCTGACCTTGTCTTTGGTTAAGGTTTTTATTGGTTGTACAGTTGTACAGTTTTAAAGAGAATCAGATTTGTAAGATGGGCAATCACATACATTGATTAAACAAATGTCTATGGAGATTCTCAGTCATCCAGGTCATGGTTGCCCCAAAGGTGCTTTTTCAAGAGACCACTGGACTCTTTGGTTTTTTTCTTTGAAGACATTTCTCATCCAGTCAGAGCTGAAGACACTTCTTGGATGAGAAGCGAAATGCCCTCAAAGAAAAACCAGAAAAGCCCTCAAAGAAAAAACTGAAAGTTCAGTTGCTTCTTGAAAAAGCACCTTTGAGGTGATTAAACAATTTTTAAAAAATCAACTATAGTCATTTGGGCTTTCATTAGTGTACAAAGAGGTTGGATGTTCTGACCTAGGGTTCCTGAGAGCATGAAACAAACACCTTGTCCCAACAATAAACCCTTTTATTAATTTACTGTGAATTCTGCTCATTCACTTCCAGCAAAGTCTTTCAAGGGAGGATTTACAGTCACAGACCTTCTCTGGCTTGGAGACCTGACAGGCCGATATCTGCAAAACTTGGCCAGGAGTCTCAGAGAGTCACCAACCAATTAAGCGAACTAATTGTCTCTTGCAAACTCCACTCCCTTTTTGCTCTTCTTTTATTTCTTCTGAGAGGGGTCATTCGTCATCCACCTGTGGCCTTACTCCAAGTTGATCCTTGTTCCCTAGTTGTTCCCTTCATCTGGCAACTCTGCACATGCACACACACTAGCACTCCAGCTATTTGTCTGCCTCACTGATATCTGACTCTCAAGGCAGCTGATAACTGTCAGACGGCCCTGGCCCCCTCTCTGCCTCCAACACAGAGCCCTCATCAGAGCCTTCCCCAGACTCCAGGACTGGCCCGTGTTCCTTCCCAACCTCCCCACTGTCCAAATCTGCTGTCAGCTCTGCTGGCAGGCCACAACATTGGATTTATGTCCAGAATGTAAGAAGTCTCCAGCTAAAATTCTCAACAGTTTTCTGCAATTACTTAATCTATTTGAATGAATGGTCCTGCACTCTGTAGAATCCCTACACAACCGAAGCAGTAAAAAAGAACTCTGCTGAAGCCATGCTAGAAAATCAAAACTAGTGCACCTCAGCCAAAATGCTTCCTTGACATTACTGACATATTTCCTTCTCTAAATGGCAAATAAAGTTTTTTAATCTCCCAGGTTTTTATATTGATCAAAGGCAATTGCATGGTGTACGACTGTTGAATAAATAAATAAAAAAGAAATGCTTTATAAATGATGAATAAGGTTAAAAATCATGTGTTGAGTTGAAACTGAATAGTACTTAATGGCATTTTGGCTACCCCAGTACTCTAACTACAAGCGAAGTCAAAGGAACAAAGAATATATATGTGGACACTCACCTTCAGGAACAATAACAATATTATTTGAATGCAGATATCTGAGGAAAAAACAGAATATATTGTTATTTTCAGGAGTGGGTAAATAAAACTTTATTTCTTTAAAGAAGTTAAGTAGCTGTTTATCTCGTATAATGATCCAAGGTGGCACACAACAACCAAAAATGCTCAGAAGTTCAGACCTTAAAACCCCATGATTCCATCTTGCCAGTTTGAGCTGAAGTCTGTTGTCCCTCATCCCTGATCTCAAATATCCAGGCACCGGGAAAAGATCTTGAGAAGATTGCTGAACTGACCTAGAGAGGATCTAGGATCATCAGGCATCAGACCAATCAAACTATTATGTATCTAAACTACATCATGAATTACTGAGGGAACTCTGGCAGGGAGGTCTAGCCTATTCAAATTAAGGACTGTGGGTGACAGCATTTTTTCATGGCTTGAGGGGCTGTCAAAGAAGAGGAGGTTGACCTATTCTCCAAAGCGCCTGAGGGCAGGGCGAGAAGCAACGGATGAAAGATTATCAGGGAGATCCAACTTGGAACTAAGCAGAAATTTTGTATCTCTGTTAGTAATAAAATTTTCTAACCGCCCACCGGTTCCACAGTAATGGTGATTTATAAAGTAGGGAAGTAAATTTACTTTATAAAATGTATAAAGCAGAGTTACAGCAAACCCCTACCGCCCACCATGAAAGCTGGAATGCCCACTAGTGGGCGGTAGGGACCAGGTTGACTACCACTGTTCTAAAGAGCAGTTAGGGTTGATCTCCTCTAGGACTGACCGGTTTGATCACCTTGCAGTCTAAGAGACTCGCAGGAGTCTTCTCCAGCACCAGAGTTCAAAGGCCTCAATTCTTTGAGGGGGTTTTTTGAGTAATTTTTACTCAATTAAATCAGTAAATGTCACCTATTTCTCTTAGGCTTGTTATTCATTTTGACTTATGGCTGTGAATGTACGCACATATTTAAGTTGAATGCCACTTTAAAATGAGACTGTTCCACAACTGTGAAAACATGCATGCTACTTGCTTCTTTTTATTCCCTCATTGTCAATAAAAGAAGTAGGTTACAATTAGTCAGTCATGTCAAATAGCTATTGCCCAGTCAACATGAGATAATCTTAAGTACACACAATTGTGGCTTACTCCCTGACTGAAACCAGGCCAAGGTCAAAAGATATCCAATCTGAACTAAGACCTCTTTCTTGTCACTAATTCAGAATTAGACAGGTTGAAATTGCCTTTAGAGCAGTTCCTGCAGAGGAAAGAATGACTGGAATTCTCTTTCAGTAATCACAGAGAAAGTAGCATTATGGTCTGTATTTGAAAAGTATCATTCACCCCCTTCTCCTCCCCCAAGGAAATCAGTAACATATTTTTTGTCGAAATTCTTCTTTTGTGTGTGTGCGTGTGCTGATTTCAACTTTCACACAGTTTCAATAGCTATCCTTAGTAAGTGGGGTAACTTGAAACGGCTGAGCAAATACAAACCTACTTTTCAAGTAGACAGCTATTTGAAGTTACAACTGGCAAAACATCTTAGGAAGATATTTATGGGAGCGAGATTCGAACAACTCAACACAATGGTCAGATATGGGAGATTCTATTCTATACCTACAACGTGCGTCTCTGCATTTGCGGAGAGGCAGAGGTAGAAGACCTGGCTCACATCCTATTTGATGTTGCTTGTATAAGGGAGTGAGAGGCAAGTACCTTGGTTCATATACCGAACGAAGGACCCATTGGAATCCCCACATCAAAACAACTTACTTTATGTGCGGCCAGAGCTTGAAAATGGTTTGGTTGAGATCTGCATACATGGGGTAGATTGTACATTGGGTGGCACCGAAATATAATTTTATGGCATTTTATTCTATTTAACATATTTATATATTAAATTATAGTGTATCTTATCTGATAACTATTTTACCCTACTCTTATTATAAATTGTTTGTGTAGGATTTTATTGGTGATATGTGTTTGAACCTTGTGCCTTGATATGAGCTATAGGTTAATCAATAAAGCTATAATAATAATTAAACCAAACTTGATAAACTGATACTATTTAAATAATAATAATTTACATATTTTTTTAAAAAAATATTTTACCTTGTTTACTGACAAGCTCAAGCAGATTCAGACCAAGAACTACTTTAAGTACCACCAAAGGCCGTGGTGTGTTCCATTCCATCACGCAATCTGGTTTTTAAAAAGTCTTCTTGCTTCCATTTCCCCCCACCCTCCATTAGCATAAAAGTAATTCTGGTGCCTGGAACTATTTGTGAGGTGCTTTGGATCCTGACTTATATTTATGATCAAGAAGCTGTCTTCTTTCATGCAACATTAGCTAGAATTGTTTAAGGAACATCCGACACAAACAATTTTAATAGGGCTCCACTAATTCGAGGCTCTGGGTTTTCTTGTGGCATTCATTTCAATGCCCGGAGTAATGAAGATAACACAAGCACCATTACGGTTGCATTGTTTGAGGTTGAGATTATCTATTAATTATGCATGCAAAGTTGACAAGATTGTTATGCAACAGTAAAAAAAAAGTAGGGAGAACTGTCACTCAAATATGGGCAGCCTTATTAGTGCTTCCATGTTGGAAAGGGTTCCAATGCCATGCTTTTTAAGGCTTGGTTAAAATATAACTGGGAAACAATTTCTCATCAAATCTCCTAAAGAAAATTGAAGTGGCGGTTTGAAATCTTTTGAGCCCATCGCAACACAGAGTCACAGACAGAAGAATTTTTTTTATCTTATTAGCAGCTTCCGTAATTTTTGTTCCACTGCATCTCAACTTACGTTTTACAATCTGATAAAACATTAACAAGATTAAAATATACCCAAATTGAAACCCCAACCTTCTAACAACAGAGTAAATTAGACAGGGGGAAAGAAAGGATTAAAGAACGTAATATAATTTGGATGAGAAAACCTTACTATGTGCTCAACAAGCTTGCTGACTTTTCAGAGCTTCTAGAAATAACCTCTTTCAAATATTAAGAAGATTCTTGTGGCTTAATCAGATTATGTTTGAAACTGCATGGTGCCAAAAACATGCAACTCTCATGAAAGCTGTACTTTAAGTTCATTAAAAGAGAATTCCCACTAGATAAGATGAGGCAAGATTATTCCTTAAAGAAGCTGCAGACTGCAATGACCTTCAAAAAATTAATAACTGCACTGCTGACACTCAAATTATAAATAAGGGACAGCTTGCCATGGGTTGCTATGATGATGATGATGAGGATTTAAGTGGAGATTTAGACCACAGTTCTTAGTTATATGGGATCAGCCTGCATAGAGCAGTGTCCCTATATAATATACATAAATAATTTAGCCCATATCCTTTGACCATGGAGAGGCTATAAAATATGACCTGGTTACAGATGTGCTTCTCTAATTATTTTAATCCACTAATGCTTACAGGAACTATTGCCATGACACTGTAGCTGAAAATTATTCCAGGGTTGTGAGAACAATGCAAACCCTTTCAAAAGGATAGTTTGGAAAAATGAAGAAACAACTGAAGTAGCTAAGTCCTCCAGAAAGTTTTGGCACTATTGCTAATGAGGGCTTTCTCTTGTCCATATATGTGTGTCCAGACAACATTCCCACAGGATTACTGATGAAATATATTAACACAAATGAAGGCTAATTTAGGTGTCCCTGGATAGTGTTGCAGGATCCAATCTGGGTCAGTCAGGCTAGAGAGAAATTCCCTGATGAGGGGTTCCAGCAAAAGTCTAAAAGCTTGGAAGACAAAACTTCTGGTCCTGGTGATCGACCCAGATTGGATCCTGCAAATATATTAACTGTCAGATTTTTAAAAAATGGAATTATATTGCTCTGTACAAGATACAAGGTTCCTGCATTCCTGAAACACACAATCACACATTCTTGATCAAAGGAACTGATGATGAAATAGTTATTAAAGGTATTAGAATGCTATGTTCTAAGAGGGACAGGACACACTATTACAAGGTAAAATGTAGCTCTACATCCTTACAGAAGATAAGAATTAGATTGTTGCAAACTGTATTATTGTTAGAAAGTATATTCACAGATTCCCTGAGTAAATAATTAAGCTGATGTAGATAAAAGGTAGCCACTCAGCAAGAACTGAGCATGATGATGTTTTCTAACAATTTTTCACAGAATAATATTGATAGGTTTACTAAGGTAAAGGTAAAGGTTCCCTTCGCACATATGTGCCTAGTCGCTCCCGACTCTAGGGGTGGTACTCATCACTGTTTCAAAGCCGAAGAGCTAGCGCTGTCCAAAGATGTCCCCGTGGTCATGTGGCTGGCATGACTAAATGTCGAAAGAGCACGGAACACTGTTACCTTCCCACCAAAGGTGGTTCCTATTTTTCTACTTGCATTTTTACCTGTTTTCGAACTGCTAGGTTGGCAGAAGCTGGGACAAGTAACGGGAGCTCACTCTATTACGCGGCGCTAGGGATTTGAACCGCCGACCTTTCTGATCGACAAGCTCAGCATCTTAGCCACTGAGTCACCGTGTCCCTATAAAGGTAGAGGTTCCCCTTGTACATATGTGCTAGTCGTTCCCGACTCTATGGGGCGGTGCTCATCTCTATTTCAAAGCCTAAGAGCCAGCGCTGTCCGAAGACGTCTCCGTGGTCATGTGGTAGGCATGGCTAATTACCCTATAATTATTTATAACTATATAATTAATTAATAGACATATAATTAATTATAGGCATTACCCTATAGCAGCGATGGTGAATTTTTTGCACATGCACATGTGCGCTTTCCAGCTGACAGGACAACGCCTCACGTGCCCTGACAAATGGCTCCATGTGCCACCTGTGGCACATGTGCCATAGGTTCGCCATCCCGGCCCTATAGTATAAGAACAAAATTAGATCAGGTCTAATTTTGTTCAAGAAAAAAGAGCTCATAATATACTGTTTCTATCCACTTAAGATATTTTCCTATAAAAGAAAGCCACTTTTATATAATCTCAGCATAATTACTAACAAAAATAATATACTTACAGTTCTACAAGATTTGGAAGTTTCTGAGCAAGGTTTTCTGGCTAAAAAAAAAAGAATATGGACAAAGTTATAGTTTCATCTTTATAAACTCAACATCAATTTGTTTCTTCTTTCAAGCTAGAACCAGGATGAAGCTTTGGATACCAGGATCCTAAAGCTACACACCAAATTATTATACCTGTTTCTCTACCTGATTTGGCAATTATTGTATTTAGCCTTGCCTAACCAGCAACCACAAACTTCACCAAGTACAAGTGTGTCAAGTCAACAAGGAGTGTTACTAGCAGACAGCAAATAACTTTCCAATGTGAAACTGGGAATTCTAGAACAGTGGAGTTGGTTCACATTATTAATTAATGTAATCCAAAATCCTAACATATCCAAATTCAGTAACTAGTGATGAGATTAGCAATGTATTTTCAAGCTATCCTTACACTACGAAACAACAGAATTAAAATACGTATATTGATTACTTCAGTCATGATATTTTAATTACTTTATCAAAAACATAACCTGAGGATGGATTTGTTTTGAAATAAACATGTTACAGTTTATGCTGCTATATCTTTATTGGTGTATGTAAAATAATCTGATTTTGCCACACTAAACAAGGAAACCACTTATCTTAATGTATATGCCATAAAAGTTGGAATTCTCCTAAACGTGAAAGTGTGCTAAAGTAGTGTTTAAACCAACAGCCATTCTTACAGCAGTCAAGTCACAATACTCTAAATAGGTCTATCCAGAAACTGACTGATTATCTATCCCAGTAGTTCTCAGCCTTTTATTCACCTCATACCTCCTTTAAATACCTTTTGTGGCCACGAACCATAGCCATGGACCCCCTCAAGACTTAACTCAAGATTTAAATCATAACATATTTTTCCAAGCCTTTGCAAATCCCATGAGAACATTATGGTCCCTCCAGGGATCCACGGACCAAGAGTTAATAACCACAATTTTTTAAAGAATTTATGAGATAAGGATTCAAGAGTGAGTATAGTTTAAAGCAGTGTAGGATTCAGCCAATTCATACCACTTCGGGAGAAGCAGTTGTTAACTTTCCGAGCAGTTTGGTGAACTGGTTGTTGGAAGAAATCATTAGGGCAGAGAACCGGTTGTTAAATTATTTGAATCCCACCACTGGTTTAAAGCATATCTTTGAATTTTTTTAATTCACTGCTGTGTTGTTTACAGGAGGTGGGGAGGTGTTTCTCTGAAAATGAGTTGCTGAAAGAAGCTTATAAAATATAAAAATTGCAAAGACCAGTCGTATGTAACTATGCAAAGATAAAACCAAAGCAAAAACAAATCACAGACAGCAACTACAGATGGTTAAATAACTTGGAAGGGTAGGATTCTATTGACAAATTATTTCAATTCGTAATGCAAGCAATCCCCTTAGAATCCTCCCTTTCAGCTAAGCACATATGCAGAACTGTTCATATCTTCAGCCCTTTTTTCCAGTTAAGAAATATAGGAATTTGAGCTTGGTTTCCACCTACTGGGGAATTAATGCTCAACACCCTGAAGCTGGGCAACAGTTTCTAACTGAATTCTAACCAAGGGCCAAGTTTTCACTGATTTGAAAAGGTAGGCAGTATAGGTAAAGGTTCCCCTCGCACATATGTGCTAGTTGTTCCCAACTCTAGGGGGTGGTGTTCAACTCTATTTCAAAGCCGAAGAGCCAGCGCTGTCCAAAGACGACTCTGTGGTCAAGTGGCCAGCATGACTAAACACTGAAGGCGCACGGAACACTGTTACCTTCCCACCAAAGGTGATTCCTATTTTTCTACTTGCATTTTTACATGCTTTCGAACCGCTAGGTTGGCAGCTGGGACAAGTAACAGGAGCTCACTCTGTTACGCGGCGCTAGGGATTTGAACCGCTGAACTGCCAACCTTCTGATCGACAAGCTCAGTTCTTCACCACTGAGCCACCACATCCCATAGGCAATATAGCCACCGTTTTTTTAAAAAAAGGCTAATGTTTATCTCGTTTTTTCCCATTCTCAAATTAGAATGCCATCCTCAAAAGTCTTTTATTGAAAACCGTCTACATCTTGTAAGACCTGCTTGTCAGATTCAATCTTGCAGAGTTGGGCTCTTCTGGGATCCTTTGATGAAATAATTTAATCTGTCTGGACCTCAGAAGCTCACCTTCTCCATAGCAGTACCTGCCCTCTAGAACAAGGCTCACCTCAAAATTTGGATGGACCTCACTCTGCAGTGACTGTATTTAGAAGAGTTGTGAAACTTTGCTCTTCCCTGAGGTCTTTGACGAGGTAGAGTGAAACTCATTGCTGCATTGCACTTGTATTCTTTTATTTTTTATCTTATGCTGTAGCAGGTGGTGTCCGACCTGCTGCCTGCAGACTACAAATGGCCCTGGACAGTTAGTAATACGGCCGCCCAAAATCATAAAGTTTTTATTATATAGCTTTTTATTAGTTTGTAATGTAACATACAAAAAGAATTCAAAAGCAAATATTAGGGAAATTAGGAAAGGAAAAAGGGGAGTGAATACTGGGGGAAAGGAAGGAAAAAAGAAAAAAAAAGGCATTGACTTCTGACTCCTTTGGTGCAGTAAAATAAGGCATTAAGATCTACCCTCAACTTTTTACTTTTTCATAATAATAGAAACTAGCCATTTCTGTAACAACAAATCTACAGTATCTAATTGGTAAAACCCAAGGTCAAAGTTTCATCTTTTTTCACCTCAAGCAAAAAGTCCAAAAGTGGTTTCCAAGTCAAAGTAAAGGTGTTTGTGTTTTTTTTCTTTAATCAGAGCAGTCACTTGCTAATTCCATCAATTTTTTTGCAGCGATTCATCCATTGTGGGGGTCGAGGTGACTTGCCATTTCTGCCATTTTTTTCTATATTCACTTTAAGAATTTTCTATATTAGGATATGAATCCTACTTCAATATTTCTAAACTTTTTAACATTATGTGAGTTTATATACATTAAATATATTATATATTTTATATGCGACTTAAGACAATTTCTCTTTACGCATGCTTAATAGATTAACAGAGTTGGAAGGGACCTTGTAGGTCATCTAGTCCAATCACCCGCCCAAGCAGGAGACCTTCAACGAATAGGAGAACATCTAGAACAGTGCTACTTAAACTGGACAACTTTAAAAGACTTCAACTCCCAGAATTCCCCAGCCAGCTCCTTCTCATCCCCAAGAATATGTCTTTTTATTCCATCAAAATACCCCAAAATAAAATAATTTAAAAAACAACTTTGAAACAGACATGATGGCTGGTTTAAAAGATCTGAATTCCCCCTCCACGCCCCATGGAATTAAAACCGATTCACCCCATTCACACCATCATGGTGAACACCTCTGGATAAATTTATCTGGCTCACCAGCAAGTTGGCAAGGGAGAAAAAACCTGGTCTTGTGAGGTAGGCCACCGATTGCTTGCCTTACAGTATTTGTTTCCTGACTTGGTCTACCTGAAAAGATTAACATAGATCGCCCCAAAGGTGCTTTTTCAAGAGGCAACAAGGCTTTCTACTTAGACATTTAGTTAACATACATCCTTTTCAGTGGTGGGTTTCAAAAATTGTTCGAACCTACTCTGTGGGTGTGGCCTCCTTTGTGGGAGTGGCTTGCCACGCATGTGACCGGATGGAAGTGGCTTGCCGCCCATGTGACCGGATATGAAGATGCCGACGACACTTGTCAGAACCACCTTAAATTACCTCACACACAGCACTGGCATGCATAAGAATATGATGTAAACTTGTTTTTTAAAAGGCATCTTTGGTTTGCGTTAAAACAACTTCAACACACGCAATGTTCTGATTGCACCACAAACGCAGTAGCCATCCTTACCTTTCACAGAGGCACTGAGTTTTATAAATATGAGCATGATAGTGTAGAATAATCATGTCCAAGGACCAATGGTGGGTTTCAAAAAATTTTGGAACCTCTTCTGTAGGTGTGGCCTGCTTTCCAGGTCCACTGGTGGAACCTCTTCTAACTGGTTCAGTAGATTTGATGAACCGGTTCTACCAAATAGGTGCGAACTGGTAGGAACCCACCTTTGATCCTTTTGTTGCCCAACATAAGGAATAACTGATACTTCAAAACATAAATTCTATTTAATACAATAACAAATCTGTTGCTTATTAATCAATGAAATGACATACCAAGGTAGTTAAGGAATTTCTTTTCATATATAATCTTTCCAAGTACTGCAGACCTTCATCCTTCAGCAACTCTAAAGGAAAATGATGAAGATTTCGATAGTTCAAGAATAAATTCTTGTGCCTTTCTAGTTTTGCCTCTGATATCGTCTTACAAAGTTCTGATGCCATGGTGAATATTGGTCCAGCCACTTTATTAGATCTCTACTCATGGCAAAAATGGATCATTTCTGAAAGAAAAAAACAGAAGAAAAAAATGATCAATAATTCTCTTCATGATTTCCAAAAGCAGTTCTTCAGAAGCATCATTTTTTTTTAATCTATGAAACTTTGTCACACAATGAAAGCAAAACACGCCATGCTCTTTAACAGTAGAAAACAAACAGCAAAGTGGCTTAGAGTACAACAAAGTTTCAAGCAGTAAAACTAACATAGTAGCAACATTTAGGGCAACTGACCTGAGATATACTAATACAGTACTAAAATCTATAAAACAAAACAGGAAAATATTTGAAAAATATTAACTTAATTAACTTATTATACTTTACAACCCAACATTGGCTTAACTGCTATGTGTATGAAAATAATGCCCACACAGGAGTGGAAGAGGTTTTAAAGATAAGAAGGCTGTTTGAAAACCTGTTTTATTATGATACCAGCTGCTAACCTAGCGTTGCCCGGAACCAATCCCCCTTACCAGAGGGTGCCCCCTTGCTTTTTGTTTGTTTGCTTGTTGGGTTTTTTAGAACTAATCCCCTTTACTAGAGGGAGCCCCTTGTGGGAAGCAGTTACCATGGCAACACCACTGTGCTGTACAGTAGAAGTCATTTTAAGGCACAACAGGCTGTATCTTAACAGAACTTGAATCCAAAATGCACACTATCACTGTCAAAAGTACTGTGACTTGACACCATAGATATAATTCAGTCCTTCTCATTACAGTGGCCCAGATATTCCAGAGTTATGCTGGAACACACACATACACACACACCCCAACTTGAATCCAAAATGCACACTATCACTGTCAAAAGTACTGTGATTTGACACTATAGATATAATTCATTCCTTTTCGTTTCAGTGGCCCAGGCATTCCAGAGTTATGCTGGAACACCCACCCATGGACACCTTCAACCAACCATCCTTATTTATATATAGAAATAAGCAGAGATGAACTTAGCTTTCCCCTGTACAAATAAGTTGGACACACATCCAAAAAACAATGGGAATATTTATTTTATTTAAAGCAAAAATGAGATAAATCTAAGTACCACCAACAGCAATTATGTAAACCAGTGACAGGGAACTCTGATCCTTCAAATGCTATCCTCTCCTAGCATCTCACAACTGGCCAGGGATATAGGCAATATTAAGGATTCCATAACCACTAGGACCTGTTTTATCATTACAAGCAGCAGCTAATTTAATTTAATTTAATTTAATTTATTAGATTTATAGGCCGCCCAATCCTGGAGGACTGCTCATGAACTCACTTTAAACTCCCTTTTTACAACCCTGCAACCCCTTAATTTGGGGTGGAGTCATGATGAATGGAGGGAAGTGAGCGTTTACATTCAGCTATAAAAAAGACACAACTTTCAGACCAGGTTATGTTGCCAACTTTCCTTTCCCTCTCGGACGATTAAAAACCAAAAGCAGAATTCAAGGAACTTTTGCCCCCAATCAGTGACCGATGACCCAACACAATATGTTAAACTATGCCTCGCTAGAACATGCTTTACCCCACATGCTACAACTGAGAGTGCATAAAAAATAACCGTGACATTTTGCTGCGTTATGGGATGTTGTGCCACTGCCATCATCATGTTCGTTCCACACGAGATTGGCAAGAAGAACAGAAATAGAATAGACCTAAAAGGGACCTGGGAGGTCTTCCAATCCAGCCAAGAAAAGCTCAGTCTGGCATGGGATCCCAGAATCAGCAGCCACCACCATCAGCTAAGCAGTGGTGGGTTGTAGGTGGTATGTCTCAGTACGGGTGTACCGGAGCCTGCCCGGAGCACCGGGTACCGTTCTGGTACGGTGCTCTGGAGGGCCCACCTGAGCTCTTTACCTGTCCTTTAAGCCTTTGGCGCTTTCACACATGTGCATGGTGCATACGGCGCCTGCGCAACGCTCCGCTGAGCAGCTGGAGCATCACGTAGGCTTGCGGAAGCATCACAAGTACGACACATGTGCGCACCACGCATGTCCATGTGGGTGACGCCGGGGTTGTTCCAACCATACCAGTTGGAACAGAATCCGGAATCCACCACTGCAGCTAAGGCTCCCACATCAAGCCTGGAGAGATTCTCAGCCATCCAGGTCATGGTTGTCCCAAAGGTGCTTTTTCAAGAGGCAACTAGACTTTCTTGTTTCTTCTTTGAAGATGTTTCGCTTCTCATCCAAGAAGCTTCCTCAGCCCTGGCTGGATGGTAGAGAATGGAATGATTTCACTCTTCGAATAGTGTGGGAGTATGAACCGATTTCCAGAACATTTACAAATCCTTCCATTCCCACTGCCCAGTTAGAGCTTGAAGACGCTTCTTGGATGAGAAGAGAAAAGTCTTCAAAGAAAAATCAAGAAATGCCAGTTGCCTCCTGAAAAAGCACCTTTGGGACAACCGTGACCTGGATGACTGAGAATCTCTACAGACTTTTAGCTATACAATTTGTGATGAGCACACTTTGAATGGTGTGGGAGAAGGAATGAATTAAAAAAAATTGCAGATTACGGGAACTAGGAGCACTACTTAGGTGACCCTGAGATAAACCTCCAAGTCCTTCAAGGACCCTCTAAAAGGATGCGAAGGACCAGCTGTCTGCAAGGAATATAAATCCTTCCATTCCTCACCCTCCAGTCAGAGCTGAAGAAGCTTCTTGGATGAGAAATGGAAAAAAAACAAGGAAGTCCAGTTGCCTATTGAAAAAGCACCTTTGGGACAACCATGACCTGGATGACTGAGAATTGCTACAGACTTTTAGCTATACAATTTGGGATGCGCATCCTTTGAATACTCTGGGAACATGAACATATTTCCAGAAAATTTGCAGATTACAGGAACCAGGACAACACTCAGGTGACCCCAAGGACAGAGATAAACCTCCAAGTGCTTCAACGACCTTCTATGCAATGACCAGCTGTCTACAAGAAATATAAATCCTTCCATGCCCCACCCTCCAGTCAGAGCCGAAGAAGCTTCTTGGATGAGAAGCGAAACATCTTCAAAGAAAAAAAAAAAACCAAGAAAGTCCAGTTGTCTTGGGGGGGGGAGCACCTTTGGGACTCCCATATCAAGACTGCAAAAGCCCCATAAATTATGCTTTTGTTTAAAAGGTGATTTGGCTTGACTGAGGTCCGTGTTTCTCCGCTCTGAGCAAGTGACAGGTGTGTGGGCTTCAACTGCCACAATTCCTCAGCCAGAACAGGGAATAGATGGATTTGAATGGCTGGCTGGGGAATTCTGGGAGTTGAAGTCCGCACACCTGTCACTTGCACAGATGGAGAAACACTGACCTCAGTCAAACCGAATCACCTTTTAAACCAAAGCACAATTTTTCTTTCTTTCTTTCTTTCTCTCTCTCTCTTTCTTTCTTCCTCCCTCCCTCCCTCCCTCCTTCCTTCCTTCCTTCCTTTTTTTGTGGAGGCAACTGGACTTTCTTGTGTTTTTTTCTTTCTTTGGAAGACGTTTCGCTCCTCATCCAAGAAGCTTCTTCAGCTCTGACTAGACGGTGGGGAATGGAAGGATTTGCAAATGTTCTAGAAATCCGTTCATATTCCCACACCATTCGAGGGGTGAAATAATCCTTCCATTCCCCACCCTCCAGTCAGAGCTGAGGAAGCTTCTGGGATGAGAAGCAAAACATCTTCAAAGAAGAAAAAACAAGAAAGTCCAGCTATCTCCTGAAAAAAAAAAAACCACCACCTTTGGGAGACTCCCACATCAAGATTGCAAAAGCCTCACAAATTGTGCATTGGTTTAAAAGGTGATTCGGCTTGACTGAGATCAGTGTTTCTCCATCTGAGCAAATGACAAGTGTGTGGACTTCAACTCCCACAATTCCTCAGCCAGAGCAGGGAATAGATAGAATTGAATGGCTGGCTGAGGAATTCTGGGAGTTGAAGTCCACAAACCTGTCACTTGCTCAGAGGGAGAAGCAGATGGGGGTTAGGTGCTCCAACAACAGCTGCCGACCGCAACGGGGCCGTTACAGCCCCAAATCCGTCGGGGGATTCCCCCCCACTACCCCGCTATCCCCATCCAAGGGGAGCAGTCAGGAAGCTGCTCCTCATCCCTCCCATCCCGGTTTCTATGACAACAGGGCCCTTGGGTGGAAGGAGAGACCGAAAAAAGGCAGCTTCTCCCCCTGTGGGAGAAGCCGCCTCGGAGCCAGCGCGCTCACCGGCGGTTCCCGGCCGAAGAAGGAGGAGGGATCTCCTCCCTCTATGCGAAAACATCGGCTCGCCCAAAGGAAACGCCTCCGCCGGCCGTTAACTTCCGGTTCAGCGGAGGCGGAAATGACGTTCTGGAACACGTGACATAGGCCTGCGCGGGAAGCGGGTGGAATCCCGCGAGACTTTCGCTTTCGTCCCCGTTTGCTGCGCGCTTTGCTCAGTCGCGCGGAACGAGGGAAGTGCGACTTGGTTGGGGGGACCACGAGGAAATATCTGTGGGAGGGTTAGATGGGGATATCCTCTTTCAAGAAGATAATAAAATTAGGAAGGAAGGATGGACAGACATGGTCCATGGGACTCCAGAACCTTCATTCATCAAATGTTTCCTTCTCAAAAACTGGTACCAGCTGCCTTCTGTGTGTGGGTTTGCTGGTCAGGAGGGGAGAAAGATGACAGAAGCCTCCCTGGGCAGATTCACTCTATGTTTCTTGTTCCTGTGAAATTAATCTCTTTAAGACAATGTAAAAGTAACTGGTCTTTCTCTCTTTAGAGGGGAGGGGAAGGAAGAGAAGAAAAAAGAAAGGAAAGAAAGAAGGAAGGAAGGAAGAGAGAAACAGGAAGGGAAAGAGAAAGAAAGGGGGAAAGAAAGAAGAAAAGAGAAAGAATGAGAGAAAGAGAGAGAGAAAGAAAGACTGGATGTGGTTGTGAACTCACTAGAAGTTCCAGATTGGCTTCAGTGTGCATTTCTTTCTCTAACCAAACCTTGGCTGAGCTGAGTTTTGAATCCCAAGTCAAGAACAAAAAATGGGGGTTGAACTAGATCAGTGGTCCCCAACCTTTTTATCGCCGCGGACCAGTCAGCCTTTGATAATTTTACCGTGGCCCNATAGGGCGTCATATAAATAAAATGAACCTTGAACCTTGAACCTTGATTCAATGGATTGCACTTTAATTTAGCAGTAGGGAAAGCCCCTTAGTATGGTGTGAGAATCCAGATTGTATTCCTTTGTCCTGTGCCTGCAGTTCATGCCCTTTGAATGTTCTGCCTTGGGCATCAGGGTTCATTGGCATCATCTTTAACATCCTGCTCTGACTTTAGGGGCCGTTGTTATTCCCCCTCCCTTCCCTATCATCAAAACTCCCTCCTCTCTCTCCCACGTCAGCTCCTCAAGTTCCCATGTGTTTATAGGTGCTCCAACACTGTGATTTCAAGCCACACTTCGAAGGCTGCAGAAGAGAAAGTTGCTTTGTTACCTAAGTGCTGCAATGTGAATTGATATCACATTGTCTCCTGACAGACGGCTCTGAAAGCTGCAAATTATACTTCTCTTACAAGTTATGCTATTCTGAAAGGTATCCAAAGAAGCCACCTATGTCGGCCTGGTTTCCCTCTCTCCCCCTCCCTCTCCCACCCACCCCCTCTCTCACACCCACAAACATCCTTTTCTTCTTTTGCTTTTTTGATACATAGGATTAAGATGAAATCTGGGAAAGCTCGGTAGGGCATATTGTGAATTGGAGCTCCTGTGTGCTCACGTACGTTAATATAACACGACCGAACCCTCCTTCACCCTTTAACCTGAATCAAGGGAATTAGAATAAAGGCAGCCCAAAATAGGATTGTTATTATATTAAAAATAATCTTACAATAAAAATTCAAGATATTAGGTAGATGTACTTACCAAATAGGCTGTTCAAACCATTCTTGTGCTTCAATTTTCTATCTTTTTCCTAACTGCCATTTACTATTCTTAGTTTTCCTTGAGCTGTTTAGTTCTTCAGGATTTTTTCCTGCTACTTTTTAAAGAATCTGCTTGTATCTCTGCAAACTATGCTAGAAATAATCTGTTATATTTAGGCTCCAATTGTCAGCGTACTTATGATCTGTGGCTGTGCAAATCATCAGATGGATTCAAAAGCAAAAATGTGGGGAGGAGGAGCTGACGNTGTGATGTCAAGAGAGAGGCACTGCTTATGGCAGCGGTAAGGAGTTGACCGAAATGTGGGACCAGAGGTGGGTTCCTACCAGTTCACACCTATTTGGTAGAACCGGTTCGTCAAATCTACCGAACCAGTTAGAAGAGGTTCCACTAGTGGACCTGGAAAGCAGGCCACACCTACAGAAGAGGTTCCAAAATTTTTTGAAACCCACCACTGTGCCATATCCACTATTCAGATTTTTTTTTGTCTTATCAACAATTGTTAAGTCTGACAGGTTTTGCAGCAGGTACATATCTGCTTCAATTCTAAAGTCCCAGAGTATTTTAGCTTCCTCAGGCAAATGGTAATCTTGCTGATCTTCCGATTCATCATTGTTGCTACTTTGTCATGCTGTTGCTTGTAGTCAGTCTGTGCAATCTTCTTGAAGCAGCTAACCAGGTGATCCACTATTTCTTTAGCTTCTTTGCAGAGGCTGCGCTTGCTGTCTATTTATTTATTTAAAACATTTATATGACTGTCCATTCATTCTCAGTGACTGTGGGCAGCTTACAAAGAATAAAAACTCAATATAGAAGAATAAAAAAAACAATAACTCCCAATCTCCCTGGTGACAACAAACAGTCAAACAGACTGCTTGATTGAGTCCATCCCACTCTGGGTTCCCGAGAACTATCAGTAAAACCAGACCTTCAGGCCTTATGAAAAGTGTCAAAGTGAGACCAATCAAATCTCTGTGGGGATAATATTCCAAAGGGAGGAGCCACCATGGAGAAGGCCCTTATTCTGAGTCCCATCATATGTAACTCCTTAGGAAATAGGACCAGCAACATTCTTTGCTTCCTTGCTAGTGAATCAGGTGAATATAACTGGGGAGAAACAGTCCCTCAGATAATCCATCCTAAGCCATGAAGGACTTTAAAGAAGGTGACAACCAGCAACTTGAATGCATCTGGAAGCAAATTAGCATGAATGCAGTTCCTGCAGGAGACATGACATGCACGCCTGGGTCTGCACAAAACCAATTGGAGCATCTGGATGCTTTTCAAGGGCAGCGCTATTTCAGTGTTGCAATAATCAAGATGGGAGATAACTAGGCCATTATTGACTATGAGCAGAGACTGTTCATCTAGGAAAGGGCATAACTGGCACACATGTTTGATTTCTTTATATAAGTACACTGTGTATAGTTTAAATTTAGCAGAGTACATATGCCACTTTGATAGGCCAATAGGAAATTCAACATCATTCAGTTTTCAATAGTTATCTCAGATACAGAAGTTACTTCAGCCTATAATTGAATCTAAGCATCTGCATCACACTGGGCTAAATTTCTAATGTTGCCAAAATATTAAGCTTTTCATAATTTTTGAAAAAGTAAAAGTATTGGATGTTCCTGAGAGTCCTTTCTCCCTCACATTTCCTAGAGTATAAAGAGATACTTCTTTGCAAGGAGTAGCATAAGCCAGTCCTACTGTCTGCTTTGGCTCCCTTAAATCAATGTTGCCCTCTTTTTCAGGGGGTGGATTGGATCTTTTAATTGAGTATGGTGGATCCAGGTTTGATTTCCTCTACCTGTATTGATGTGTAGCACTTGGAAGGGACCATTCCACTTAAGCGGGAAAGTGTCATCTGAGTGGCTCCACAATTTTACTAAAACCCAATATCCAGCCTTTTTTAGATGTACTGCAGTGGTGGGTTGCAGGCGGTACGCCCCAGTATGGGCATACCGGATCCTGCCCAGAGCACCGGGTACCGTTCCGGTTCGGTGTCCAGAGGGCCCACCCGCCTGCCTGTGCTCCTTACCTGTGCTTTGTGCTTTTGGCGCTTCC